CAGACAGTACCACAGCCTCATCTGAGCCATCAACTTCCGAAGGCTTTACTCAAGTAACTACAGATACCAGTCAGGTTACCATCGATTACCAGAATGATGAAATGGAAGAACAGCCAGAGGAGACCACTACTTCGAATACTCCTGAAGAGTCACTTGGCGTTACTGTTAGCGATTTCCTCGAGTCACTATCTACTGAAGGATTACTCTCAGGAACGACAGACCCCAATCAGATTACCTCAGATTACCCAAACGATGCGATCTCAACAACCCAGGCGGAGGAGACTACTCTTCCAACCATGTCTGAAGCGTCAATTCACATTTCTACCACGACTTCACCCGAGAACCGTCCCACTCCCTTTGATTCTGAACCCCTACAGGCCACTGACGCCCCTGTAATCGCCCTGAGTACAGATTCCCACAGTGATTACGATACGACTCAGTTCCCAGACGCCGAAAGCACAAATGAACCTCAACAAAGCACCCCGCTGGACGAAGGACTCAAGATTCCCGTGACAGAGGTTCCTTCCTCCCTCCTCGGTCAGGAGGAAAAGGAGACGCAGCACCAGCAGGAGGACCCAAGTCGTCCCTATGTTATCAATAGTGACATCTGCGGCTTCAAAGGCGTTTGGAATCACGTAAGAGTGCTTGTGTTCATTTGGCTGGTTGGTTGCATTTTCGGCAATGGCATTTTGGACTGGTGAGTGTCCGCCTCATTGTTCTATATATCGGATATGAAAAATTACCAATAGTCCTTAGAAATGTAATTCATTTGTGTGTAATCTTTGTTTTGATCGATTGATTGATTTTATTGTTATTTCTGTGAAGACGGGATAATAACAAAACAAAAGTTCTCCATTCTCTTTGTTAGCAAGTGTATCTCGAAATGGTTTAAAGATACCCAATTTTTACCAACAGCTGGTGAAAGAGCCCGCTAAAGAGCCAATGGGTGGAGTGGCTGTTTCCACGGTGGAGTTCTGTTGGGTGGCGGCCCTCGTGGAGCGCCGAGGAGGGACACTCGAGTACCTTTGCTCAGGCGCCCTCGTGGAGGCCGACCTCGTCCTCACTGCTGCCTCCTGTCTAAGGAAGTACGTTCACAGCTTTAAGAAATCATCTCGCGACCAAATATTCCACCATTTCACTAATATTAGCGTAAGATATCAAACATTTCACTAATTCTTAGTCATGCATACATATTTCTTACTAAATACCAAAGACATTCCGCCTTCTTTGACCTTGTTTGTATCTCCGGAAGGCTGAACACGAGCGACCTGTACCGGTACATCGTGGTTCTCGGGGACAGCAACCTGCGCGAGGACCTTCCCTACGGGGTGCAGTTCCACTCCCTCGCAGAAGTGGTCATCCACCCGGCCTACTCCTCCTCCGAGGACGTCCACGCGAATGACATAGGTGAGCGTCGCGGGATCCGGAGCCTTTCACAGAACACAAAGGTTTGATTTTAATTGGCGAACATAATGTCATTTTAAAATCTCTCTCTCTCTGTCTCTCTCTCTCTCTCTCTCTCTCTCTCTCTCTCTCTCTCTCTCTCTCTCTCTCTCTCTTTCTCTCTCTCTCTCTCTCTCTCTCTCTCTCTCTCTCTCTCTCTCTCTCTCTCTCTCTCTCTCTCTCTCTCTCTCTCTCTCTCTCTCTCTCTCTCTCTCTCTCTCTCTCTCTCTCTTCCCATCCATCCACCTACCCATCTTCATTCCTCTCTCTTCTTTATATTGCAGGCGTGTTGCGGCTGACTGGCCCGGCCACCCTCAGCCACCAGGTGTGTCTTGTGTGCCTGGCCCAGCAGGGAGCCGCCTTCCCTGCGCACAGCTGTGTCCTCTCAGGCTACAGCATCGCCCCCCACGCTTACGATGCCTTCGGAGGTCCTCCAAGCACTGGTGACTATGCGGTTCATTTTCTGATATAGTGCAACGTATATACTTTTTGTTAGATGCAGATTTTTTTAAATAGCTTTTTTGAAGAGTCAGTATAGTGGAAAACACATTATGGATTCATACGTTCGAGGATATAGACTAGAAATCAATTATAAGCGTCTGGAATTCTATGATATCTTTCAGTGCCGTTGGATGGTGTCCTGAGAAAGCATCCTGTATCCCTCCTGACGAAGGACGAGTGCCAGGAGGCGTTGTACAGGGAGAATTTGTCTGAGTTCAAGACCTCCCCAGACGCCTTCTTGTGTTCGAGAGAAACGGACGCTGCCAGTGCCTGTTATGTACGTTGTCCTTAGTAAATCTAGTCGCTGGAGTGCCATGAAAGAAAAGGGAAATACATTAGTGCAAATCCCATAAACACTTTTTACAATTACTCTCTCCAGGGCACGTTAGACGGAGGCTCTCCTCTCACGTGCGAGGTCGGAGGTCGCTGGTTCCTCGCGGGCTTGGCGTCCTGGGGCCGAGGGTGCGCCGTGCCTGGGGGCCCTCTGGTGCACACGCGGGTCGCCTCCTTCATGGACTGGCTTCGGGGAGGTCATGGGGTAGAGGTGTGCTTCTGTCTTGCGTGTTTTTATGGTGAATGAATGGAAATATCCTTACCTGTAAGATTGTGTGTAAAACAGGTAAGTTTTGTGTATATTTCGATGAATGTCTCAGTATGGTAATGTATTTTATGGTGGCATATTCTTAAATATACATCTGTGTGATTACTGATTTCAGATTTTCATATTGAAGTCGGATATCTATAGATGCAAATATTCAAAAATATTTTATAAAAACTGTGATACCTTTTACAATCTTAAAAAAAAACATCTTATGCTCTGTAATAACATGAATTTGTTTAGCTATTTCGATTTCTCATAAATGCATAAATAATATACAACTTACGAGAGAATTATCAAAATACAATACATAATGATAAACCGTATTTATATGATTTCTTAATGTCCTTGAGAACGACGAAACCTCTCCCTCCCAGCTGACGGAGGCGACGGTCTCCCCCAAAGACCCGCCGGAGGACCAGACCAGCCCTTTCGACACCGAGGCCCTCCAGGGAACCGAGTCTCCGATAATCAACGTGATAATAGACTCTCCTGACGAAGATGAACTCGCCCATAAAGTGCCAGAGATTCAAGTTGTTCGGAATAGCACGTGTGGCTTTAAAGGCGACTGGAATGAAGTGAGGTTTAATTAAGTTCGTTGATTTCTTTAAATGCAACCCTTGCTATGGAATCCTTTGAATGTGGTTGTGTACATTTCGTAATCCAATGCCACAGCTAGACCAAAGTATACGATGCAGAGTGCCCTTCCTGTTCATGCAATAGCAGTCTTCAGACAACAAAGTATCTCCCTAACAGTTGACGGAAGAGTCCACCAGCGGCATGCAGGGTGGAGTGGCTGCTTCCACGGTGGAGTTCTGTTGGGTGGCGGCCCTCGTGGAGCGCCGAGGAGGGACACTCGAGTACCTTTGCTCAGGCGCCCTCGTGGAGGTCGACCTCGTCCTTACTACGGCCTCCTGCCTCAAGAGGTGCGTTTGCTTTTACAACAGTCTAACGGCCTGTTTGTTAGAACTGTGCGAGGCCCGACACAATAATTATTCATATATTCGGACATGCATATACACAACAAATGCATATGTCTACCTGATGGATATACATTTATCCGTCTATCCGGTAGGTATGCATATCTACACTGTTAGATATGCATTCATTTTTGCGTATATGTCCGTATAAGGAATATTCATTAGGTCGAGCCTCGCACAAATTTTACAAACAGGCCGAAAGTCATCAAATAATTCCCAAACATTTGCCTCAGCTGAAGCTTTTAAAAAGGCTCTGATTGGAGAGTCTTTGGCTACAGAATAACAAGTATAATCGTTTTTGTTCAAGACTCAAGGATAGCTTGATGAGTTCTTGTTATTTGCAGACTAAACACCCGTGAATTGCACCGATATATCGTGGTTCTCGGCGACAGCAACTTGCGCGAGGACCTGCCGTACGGGGTGCAGTTCCACGCCCTCTCCCAAGTGGTCGTCCACCCACACTATTCCACCTTCGATGACGTCCATACTAATGACATAGGTGAGAGGCAAGAATCGCCGTAGTTATAAAACACCCATTATCTTAAAAAAAAAAAAAAAAAAAAAAAAAAAAATAATAATAATAATAATAATAATAATAATAATAATAATAATAATAATGATGATAATAATAATAATAATAAATAATGCAAAATAAATAAATAAATAAATAAAACGTCGCCTTCACTCAACCTTTCAGGAATACGTGACGATTTTTTTTTTATTATCATTATTATTTCCTCCCACTTGTACACCCACTGCGATATAAATCTTCCCACTTTCGCTTTACTTCTTCCTTTCTTTCTTTCCACAGGCATAATGATGCTACGCGACCACGCCACCTTCAGCCACCAGGTGTGCTCCGTGTGCCTGGCCCTCCAAGACGTCCCCATCCCCTCCCAAGACTGCGTCCTCGCTGGCTATGGCATCTCCGACGGCCAGCTTGCAACAGCGGGAGGTGCGTCACAATACCAGTCGTGGATGTGTGACTGTATATTCGTGTGTATAGAGGTATAGAGGAGGTATAGAGGTATAGAGGAGGTATAGAGGTATAGAGGAGGTATAGAGGTATAGAGGAGGTATAGAGGGAGGAGGTATAGAGGTATAGAGGTATAGAGGAGGTATAGAGGTATAGAGGAGGTATAGAGGTATAGAGGTAGAGGAGGTATAGGTATAGAGGTATAGAGGGAGTATAGAGGTATAGAGGAGTTATAGAGGTATAGAAGAAGTATAGAGGTATAGAGGTATAGAGGAGGTATATATGCAAGAAATATACGATTGAAAACATTCAATCGTATATTTCTTGGGTGTCTTTTTTTTCAAGATATGATCATGGTCTGTTATCAGAATATATGTATTTTTTGAATCTAAACTTTCTTTACTTTAAATGAAAATAGAGCAAGTATGCATCGTTCCGTATAAAATAATAAGAAAACAAAGCAATCAAGAGTATGCTTCCTAATTATCAAGATTTATTTTTC